TAAGCCATTTCATAATTAAAATCATATTAACATTATTGCATTTAATACTTGGGAAAATTAAATAGATGAGGACATCTAAATAATTCCCTTTATAATCATTGACTTAATTAAATAAGTGTGGACACTCACTTAATTATCACATAAAATCGAGTTTACAATAAAAATAAAAATAACATTATAAATCATTAAATTAAACATAAATAATATCCATGAAAAATAATTCTTAAGCATAAAATGAATGACATGAGTTTGGGGTGTTACAATCTACCCTTCTTAAAAATTTTCCGTCCCCAGAAAAAGTTCTTATTTCTAGAGTTCATCAACATATAAAAAGCTTAGCCTTCTAACTTCTTCCAACACTTCCATTCGAGTCAAGCTCCTCCTCAGCTGGCTCAAGTTCAGTTGGGTCTTCTTCAGTGGTCTCCAATCCGGTCTCCAGTGGGATTTCCCTTTCTTCCCGCAAGTTGCCTACTTTCAGAACTAAGTCGTAAAAGCTGACCACATACTCCTTCTTTCGATTTCCATCTCCCATACCTTCAATCAATAGCTCTATATAGAGTCTATTAACATCGGCCTTCCACTCCAGTGGCAACACGGTGAGTAGCTTCTTGCAGCCATCCCAATGGGACAGTGCATCTTTCTTGATCTTCCTATCCTTTCCCATTTTTCTTGCACCTTCCCATAACTCGAATATCTCTTGGACGTTCGCTCCAACGGTTTTCTGGGAGTCGTAGCGTCACTGTCAGAACTCACGGATCTTTTGGGACGTGCGACAACCTGGTCCTAGAACGGTTTGCGTGGCTCGGATGATCGCCATCTAATTAACAATACAACATCACATGCATGCTTACGAAGAGCATATAGACAATGATCATAATCCCTAAAAATAAATATTATCCAAAATTTCCAAAATCCAATCCACCAGGTGCTCCACGAAATAGCTTAGCCTAGTGAATTCCCTCTCATACTCATCCACAGTTAGGCTCCCTTGAGTTAAGTTCTAGAATTCACTTTCTAGTTGCTCGTGATAGTGTTGGGGATAGTACTTTTCCGCCATGATCTCCTTAAACCTCTCCCAGGTCAAATTCGTGCGTTCGGCCGCTGGCTTTGTCCTCCAATAGGTGGTCCACCACCTCTTAGCATCCTCTTTCAGCTGGTATTGACCGCACGTTATCTTTTCCTCATTGGTGCATCCCAATACCTCGAATATATCCTCCATGGTCATGAACCACTCGTCTACATGCGCTGGTCCTTCTTTTCCGGTGAAAATTGGCGGATCCATCTTTCGAAAATGGCCCATCATTTTAGCTTGATCCATGCGGTGGCCAGTGGCACCACATTTTAATTTCTTCTTGCCATTTCTGGAAGATACTAGAGTTAATCGCTTGCTTCTAAGCTCACTATGTTTGATCATCTCTAGAGTTCGAATCCATTCATGGGTAGAATCTTAAGCCCAAACTCATGTTATTCTATTATGCACATAATAATAACTTAACTCAAATAGCTTACCTCAGAGTTGGCATGGTGCGACGGTGGCGAGTGGTCAATTCTTTGAAAACATTTTGAAAACACTTTACGAGTCTACAGAACCACAAAACTTGGGCTCTGATACCAAACTGTAACACCCCGCTTTTCGTACATTGAATTTCTAGAATAAATTTTTCTTTTTATAAGACATTTTAAAACTTTACTTGGACTCAGGGTGCTACTTACTTTGAAAAAAAAAACGTTTCATACATAATCCTTTCATAACCATAAAACTTTTTATGAACATAAACATTTCATACGTGAACATAGAACATTTTATGGCGTTGCCTTGAGAACTTACACTTTAACTTGACTTGCATGAACCATGACTTATTTCATGAAATAAACTTTGCATAGCGGAAGCTTTTAAAACATAAGTGTCATAAACATTAAAACATGTGACCACCCTCGCCATCGCTCCTTTGCCAGCTCGCCAAAAACCTGGGTGTGG